ATTGTGTTTCATGAAAAATAATTAATGTTGGTCCCATAGTTGACATAGGTCCATCAACTTTACAATTTTTCATAACATTTTCTAATTCTTTTCGAAAATATTTTAAAAATGCATTTGAAGCATCAGATAAAAATTGAAACATATCATTTGGTAATTTTGGTGCTCGTGTTCGAAATATAATAATATCACTTATACATAATATTTTAAGTAAAAGTCTATTACGAATATTATCATTTTGTGATAAACCAAGTCGACCTTCAGTATCAAGTATAAGTGTTCGTTGATTTTCATCTAATGCTGACCATACACCCATTGTGCATGATTCAGTTGTTGATGATGTATGAAATTTTTCTTTTCCATTAAAAAATACTTGATTTAATGTATACGATTTTCCATCACCTGTATTACCAATAATAGAAATACATTTAACATTTGAATCTTGTGATGAACATTGTAGTTGACGAATAAAATCAAATTCATTATTAACCTTAATTTAATTGAATTTAGATAAAGTATTTAACAAAAAATAAACTTACAGTTAAATGTTCATGAGCATCTAATAATAGAAAAACTTCATTTGAATTTGTATTCAATGGATTTTGTTGACAATCTGTATCTGATATTTGTTCATTAAATTTTTCTCGTTTGTATATGTGATTCGTGTTTTGTTTCTGTTGAGAGATAGTAGCCGTGGACATTTTTGTTTGTTTGGAATTGTTTTGTTGTTCTGACGGTGAAATATAATTTTCATCATAAGCATCTAGTTCGATATCGGCAAATATAAATGCAGACGTATTTTTATAGTTATTTTGTTTATGAGAATTGTTGTTATGATCATTTGAGGGTAAATGTGGATAAATTGGTTTTGCTTCTATTCGAGAATGTGCACTAAATGAAAAGAAAAACATAGCTTTATTATTAAGTTTTATTCAAGTTAATGTGTAAACCTCAAGAAGAGAACGTAAAAATCCGAGAAACATATGTAGGGTAAAGAAAACGATTCAAGTCATCAGAGTTTTATACAACGTGCGGATTGAGGGGCAGTGCCCCTCCGAATATTAGGTTGGCGCACTGGGAATTTTAAATCGCCCTTCCGAAAGAAAAAATCTGCATAACACACTGCAAGTCATAAAAAGTGTGTATCAAATGTTTTTGAAACTCATAACGTCATAAAAAGTGAAATAATCTTTTCATTACTTTTGAAGTATTATAGTAAAGATCATATGTTTATCGATTAGAAAAAATATTATTTTGTGTATTACGTAATAACAAACATAATGTATAAATTGATTCATTGTTCATATAAAAATTAGTCTATTTTCAAATGTTAATGTTGCGTATTTTAGAAAAAAAAATCTTTTCTGTTTACTAATATATCAACACCCTGTCCAAATATTTCATTTATGACTGAAACTTAAAGTTAACTTGTTTATGTAGCATATCAAACATACTCAATTTTCGTTATCTTAATCAAATTCTTACTATACCTAAAAGTTTAATAAAACAGTAGTACTAGAAATATTTCATCAACTTACTTATCCTTTTCTGTAAGGAACATTTGTTCTTCTTTAGATTTTTGTAGTTTATGTTCTCTTCCGTCTGAATGTTGATGTTTATTTTTATAACATGAATAACAAAATAATAATGTACAAGTTGAACAATAAAAAACAGCTGGATGATTTCTATTAATTGAACAATATTCACCATCAATTTCGTCTGAATTTAATCGTTCATGTTTTCTATTATTCGAACTATCATGAATTTGTTTTTCGCATAAAACACATTGTAATGAATCACATTGTATACAATAAAATATTGCTTTTGATAATATTTTCGTATCACATGCTGCATATGCCGCGCAGCTTAAAGAAGACATCGCATGAGAAAATTGATATGACAAATTTTTTTTAGAATAGAGAATTAGAACTTGAGGTATATGTTTTCATATGATTCATTCTTTTAATATAAATAAAAACTTAGGTCAAAACATATTTTTATCATACATTTTTTTTATAAATTTCTTATGCTATGAGAATACATTTATTCGTTTGAATAATTTCAGTTGTCTATTCAATCTTCATAGATGTCACTAAATATGAATGTATATCTCTATTGGTTCTATGATTTGTAACTTCTACATGTGCATTTATATATATCATTTTATTTTAGACAACTAAACAGAAAGAAATCGATTGCTTATAGTTGATCGAAATTAACAATCATGACCGATCAATGTAGTGTATCAATGGTTGATTCAACTCGAAGTATGTCATTTGAAACTAGTACACTATTAACAACTTCGACTATTAATGCATTACATTTTCCTGGTCTTACAATATCTGGAATATCGGATATAGGTAGTAGTCGACCAACAAGTTTTATTTCTGATAATACTGGCATGTGTGAATCAATGATAGAAAGTTATTCTTCAGTAGGAGGTCAAGATGAAACAATATTAACTAACCATACAAATATTCTTCAATTAGATACATCAATAACAAATAATAATTTTAAAATTGAAAAAAAAGATTCAATAACACAAAAAAAACGTCGTTCACGTAAATCACAATATGATGCATCAATTGATGCAATATTATCACTTGATAAAATTGAACCTGTTAATTTATTTGATGAACTAAATGAAGCTGATGATGCTTGGTAAACATTTTTCTTCTTGTTTTTTGTTTTTTTCTAAATATATGTTTTTTCTTTTAGGTTATTTGAAGTACCAAAAACTGAACATAAAAATGATCCTATAACGGATAATATATTTTCTTGGGTACATAAAGAGTTTAAAACAAATGATATACAAGCAAGTAAACATCGACTTCTTTGTAAACTTGATGATATGTCACATGGTAAGAAAATTCAATAGGAATTAAAAAGAAAAAGTTCTATTTGTGATTTTATTAAGCACGAACAATACGAAGTTTATCATGTCATAATTTTGTTGATAATCAAAAAATTGATAATGTCAAAAGAAGTTTAACTGAACAACAAGTTAATTCAGGTATAAAATTTTTTTCAATTATTTAAATGAATTTTTAATTTCATCATCAATATTAAGAAACAAAAAAAGAAAATTTCGAAGTTTAGATACTATCATTAAAAATGATAATAATGTTCTGTTTAATAGATTTATTGATGAATTAAATGATGATAAACATTTTTATAATTGTTTTAATGATAGTTTTTTATTTCAAACTATTATCGATGAACATCATCTAATTGAACGATATTCATCATTGAATAGTCTTGATTGTGATATAATAATATCTTATAGTAAGACATATCTAGCATGATGTGAGAATATGTTTGATGAGTATGCTTTGTGAACATTTGTTTTTTATGCTTATTTGAGTTTTCTTTTGTTTTTTGTTTAGTATATATAAAAGAATATCTTTTTTTTTTGTTCGCTTCTTTGATTATAGAACCCGTCAAAAGTGGTCGATCGAAATCACCATTACATACAAAAAGTCCTTTATTTAAGGAAAATATTAATATTCGATCAATATCACCTGCTAATGGAAATTATACTAATCATAGTACTGGTACAACTACGATACGGTCAAGAGATACTTCAAGAGAACCTGAAAGAGTACCATTGGATTATACTGATGTTGAAGGTAATTTAATAATTTTATGGATGTAAAAGAAATTTTCGAACAGGAAAAATATTTATGATCCATACAATTGTTATTATTTGAATATACAGTAGATCTTTGTATACTCAAATCTATTCTATAAAATTGTTCTCAGATTTTCAACTGTTATCTTCTTAAAACGTTTCAAACTTGTTGCTTATATATATTAGTGAATTGCAATTTCTGAGACCATCATAGCTGATTGATTCCGTGGTTCAGTATGTATTCAATAAGCACTATATTTTGTATAACTAACCGTTGAATGACTCTGGACAAGTTACTAGCGACTGCTTGTCTTAAGCCATCCATTCTTTAGCCGACTGACTAAGTTGTTATATACGCCTGCCCTCTCGTCGTTATTCAGTGTGTACAAGAAGCTCAAGTAATTGAGTGCAAAAATTCTGTGTCAGACTGGCCTCTTGTTCAGAGCTACAGCTAGTATTAGTCATAGGAAAGATATTGGACTGAAGAGTTTACCGCTAGTTAGTCGAAAGGCACGAGTATTTTTTTTCTTTCAATTTTTGGAATAGTACATTTTATTGTGCTCTATTTCTATACTATACAACAAAATTTTCCTAAAATTTTCCTGCATATTTGCCGAGATACGACTTACAATAATGTAAATATATCGTAAAAAATGTTATTTAGTGCGAAAACTGATTGTAGATCGCAGAAATTCCATGTAATCAAACTGCTTATTAACCAAGAACCGACATTTTCAATAAAAGTAGAGTGACTTTCAACAATGAAACAAATTCAATTGTATAAATTAGTATCCATCTTAACTCACTCTCACGAAAGAAATCTTCCGGCTGATGAATCATTTTTTGAATCGAGACTACGTAATAAATCTGTTGTCATTAATACTATTTATATACTCCGAAATAAATTGTTTCATTACATCACCACTTCATAAATTATATTGTAACAACATTGGAATGCCATTAATAAATTTATACCTTTTTTTTAAATTTTATTTTCAGTTATGGCCAAAGTACAACTTGAGAGTAAGTATTTCTTAGTGTTTCACATCGACAATCATTATATATATATATATACTCTAATTGTTCACTCAGATTTACGTCAAGCTGAGCGACAAGGTCCATTGTTTAAACGTTTTGGTATGTTAGTCTTTTTTGACTTAAATGATTGTTATTTGCTTCATAAATTATTTTTATCAATTATAATGATTTTATATTTGATTCAACGAAAAAAAAAATTCGATTTTTTTTAATGCTATCTATCAATGAACATAGATTTATTGTTCTGACGGAATATATCAATACCAAAAAAAAACAACAACAACATTTGTTTGTTGTAACAAAATCTAAATATCCTCATATACAATCATCATTAAGATCAGGTCAATGAAATGAACGTGTAACAACGTCATATACATATCCATCGATTGTCTTTTAATACTGACAACATATTTGCTGAATACATATCAGGTTCATTATGGCACATTAATCTATGTATTTTGTTTTCCCGCATATCACTACTTTGCACATTAATGCTTCACTAAAACTTGTTAAATCTTTTTTTTGCGTGTGTGCGTGTGTGTGCTACCTTTTTGTTTTCATAGAGCTGCTTTCATTGGCTTGCTTTTGCTTTATGTGCTTGTAGGCGGTTCTAATGCTTCTCTTGCATCAACCAGCAGTGGTACAAGTCTATCGACGTCAAGTGAGTTTTTCGTTTACAAAAGAATTCTTTTTTTTTAATATTTATTGGAAAAGAAAGCCAATGAATATGATCATAAAAAAATGAACAGTTGAGTTATAAGGTCTACTATCTTACGGAAACAAAAAAAAACTTTTTGGTATTGACAGATAAAATATTCAATATAATGTAGATGTTATTTTTAAATTTCCCTAGTCTGTTTAACATCATTAGAAAAACCATAAGCTAAATTATCATAAGCATATAAACATTTGTTTGTTGTACATGTTGAAGAATATTTTGGAGATGAAAGTTTTTTTGAAACATAAGAAGATTTTTGTTTTTGTTGATAATCAGCTAAAAATAAAATATTTCCAATTTAATAATCAATGAATTTCTTGTTTTTTTTTTTTTGGATAAACATACTTTTCATTATTCCGTTTCTATGTATTGAATCGATTTTTGTTTTTTTGTTATTCATATCTGAAATAATCAAATCAATAAGTAATATGGTTTTTTTTTATTGCACAGCTTTACGAGAAGACGTAGTCGTGTTAACGTGCATAATGTAACGAACTGAATGAGAAGGAAAAAAAAGGAAAGAATTCTTTTTAATACTATGCAAAAAAAAAAGAAAAATAACGTTAAAGTTGTCTCGTTCTTAACAAATTTTTATTTTGAAAAGCATTCAACCGTTTAAATGCATAGTTGTTTTGCAAGTCTCGCTTATTTATTACACATTAAATAAGATCAATTAAATAAGACTTATATTTAATTCAGCAATAAAATAATTGAAATGAACAATAATGAAATTTAGCAATAAATTTACTGAATCAGCAATAATTATTGAATAAGGGATAACTATATTGAATGAGCAATAATTATATTGAATAAGAGATAACTATATTGAATGAGCAATAAATATACTGAATCAGCAATAATTTACTTAAATTAAAGGTAAATTTTATATAAAGAGGGCACTATGGATTCATTTTGTTATGCTACATTCCAAAGATGTGCTATAAGACAGAGTTGCATTATACTATACATTATATTTTCGGTCTCTTTCTTTCTCTACATATGTACGTATCTACACCATTCATGCTCTTTCTCTTTTGTCAGGTTAGCTCTATTTGTTTTTCTGAATCCGACTAAAGAAATCATTCTATCATCTCGAATATTGAATGATTATTTGAATACAAATTTATTAGATTAATATTTACTCTTTCAGACTATGCAATTAGAACTGTACAACAACCATTCAAAGCTGAAGGTTTTTAAACAAAAAACGTCCGAGTCTATACATTCGGGTCTGATAGAGTCCAAGTATGAACTCCAACCTTTTTATTTAAAATCCTTCCGCTCTGAATGTCTTTTGTACATTTATAATCACATTGTATGAAAGTGGAAACATTGCTTCACAGAGGTGTATTCGAACAATAATTCAGTATTCTAAAAAAAATAGAATGGACCAAAATCCTCTGGTCGAGTTCAGAAAATCTGGCGCAGCTCCCTACTGTCAGCTACATTCCCATATTACTTTCTCTTCGATTGTTCATTTCTTTCTTTCAAGTGATCATTCAGATATATTCTATTCGTATCATATCTATTCCTGGTATATTCTGTCACCTCAGATGCAAGTCTACATGTGTGTGATAACAGAGAGAATCTTATTTTTCGAAAATAGACTTTATATACACAAGATCATATTACGGATTTAATACATTTATTGATAGAAATACGTAAGAAACAGAAGCAGACCACCCAGGGAAAAATGGCTTTATTGACTCAATAATATACTATATTTTTGATTTCTTTTTTTTTTTATTTTCGATTGTAACTAAAAATAATGCAATTTTTCTTTTATTTATTCTTAAAATATGAAATTATTACTGTTATTTAATGAATTAATTATTTTTCATTTAATAATATGAAATTGCTCAATAAAGTTTTTTGTATTGCTCACAAATTATTGCTAAAACGTATGTTAATTATTGCTGATTCCAATATTTTTATTGCTCAAATAAATACTAGCCATTAAATAATCAAGCTATCGATTCATGCTTTTGCTTTCGTTGTGTATGCATACAGATTTAATCATGAAAACAAATTAAATGCTCCGTATTTTTTTTTGTAAACGCTCAATATTATATATAAACTATCAGTATAAAATTTAGTATTCAGTAATTATTACTTGTGCTCATTTAATAACTTATTTACTCATTATACTGAATAATAATTGTATCAGTAATGATTGTAATTGTTTTGATGAGAACATTTTTCTGTAAATAGAAAAATAGTTTTCCATGTTGACTAATGATAGCATCAACAGCCAAAAGAATTTTACATAAAATAATTTACACATATGTTCTCTTCTGTGGACAGAAGGCCAGTCTGTCACAGAGTTCTTGAGCTGCTCACATATACTAACTAATCACAAGAGCAGATATATGTCACAACTTAGTCAACATGATATCGGTCGAGTGATCCGAGACGCATAGCTATTACTGATTTATCTAAGATCATTTCATGACTGATGCTACTGAATTTTGTATACAGTGCCTTGCAGAAACGTGTCGAACAATGCAATCACTCAGCCATGATGGCGTTGAGTAGGAGGAGTTATTATCCCAATTTTGAGAAATTTTCATTTTTTTCCCAGCGAAGTTCCAGCGTTTTATTCGTTTCTTTCCTCATCAATTCTCAAAAAAATCTTGTCGACCTCAGCACATTCTTGAGCTTTTGTTTGAAAAATAAAAGACATAGTTTAATATTGATTCAATCACCTATTAACAATGCTATATGTAATTTAGTTTAAAAATGGTAACGGTGATGAAAATCATTAAAGTATCAGCTTATATTTCTGACGAGGAGATTAAATACACATGAAACCGTACACGATAGAAACGAGAAAAGAGTAAAGAAAGAGGTAACGAAATTAGATAAAAGAAATAGTGTTTAACAACGCTAAAGAAGTAGTAATAAAAAGCATTACTGATACAATATACTTCTGTTAATTGTAATTATACTATTTTCAACTGATATAAATTAATAAAACAGCTGAACAAAAATAAATTTAATACTGAGTCTTTCTAATATAATTACCGAGCAATTAAATCCAAGTCTTTAATACTTATCTATATTTTATCTACAAATAAAATTAATTGAGCTGTTGTTTTTTTTTGTATTCTATTAGATCGAACAGGAACCAAACCTCCTGTTGCTCCAAAATCAATAATAACAAGGTTTATATATTCTCAGTCAAATCTATTCAATAAACATATATATATATAAATATTTTAGAAATGGTGTTAAACCAAATAATAATCGTGCATCAAATATGCAAACAAATACGACTACTAAAACAAATGGTTATAATGTATCAACAGTTACACAACCAAAATCTTCCGTAACATCAACAACACGTGCTAGTGTTTTACCACCAAATTCAGCTAATAATAATCGTACACGACCATTAACAAATCGTCCAACACAAGTTTATCGTGGTTCACAAACATCTTATAATAATAATAATAATAATAATAATAATCCTAAGGCTCCAGTTACTGCATCATCATCAGTTGAACGAAATAGTAAAAAACCAACTAATGGCTTTAGTTCAACATTTACTACGAAAGAATTTACATCGAATGAAAATGGACTACTTACTGATGTAAGTAATAAACCATTAATAGCTCCAATACGATCACAAGTTGGACCACAACGACGTACTATATTACCTCATTCATCAACCTATTCATCTGGTGAACGAATTCCATCATCATCATCATCATCAGTGAATACAACAACAAGTAGACAAACAATTCTTCCACGTAGTTCATCATCAACATTAAGTAAAGAAAGAAAAAGTGGAATACCAACTGTTGGAAAACAACAAAAATCTAGTACTACAACTGTAACACGGTAAGTTAGATTTTTCATTCAATGTACTTTCTATTACACAATATTTTACTGTGGTTTGCTTGTTTATTATTATCTTTTTCTTTACTGATAATATTAGTGAAATATTAAACATATTTTCAGCCATCATTCGCTTTCTTCACGGCATTCGACGATGAATGGATTTTAAATAGGCACGAGTATAGTAGTAGATATTACTAATGACACTTACTTAATTGCATGATTTATTGTATGGTTTTTTTATCTTCGTTTATTTTTGCTTATGAAATAAAATAATATGTTTTATTATTTAGACCTACATCATCAAATGTAAATCCTTCTTCTAAATCTTCGGACAGTAAGATGATCACGAGAACTGTTCGAGGACGAAAAACAATCGCACGTCCTCAACTATCAGTGTGGAATGATGGGTGTTATTAATTATTCTCATTATTTTTTTTTTCTTTGATCTATATCCTATCGTGCATGCACAACATTTTTGTTTTTGATCTGCTCAAGCAGCAGTTACGTATGCATTGTCCTTCTTATTCTTTATGGCTATGATGACAAGTTATTTTTGTTCTCTTTCTTTCTTTCTTTTTGTATTAAAAAAAAAACAAAACTTTCTTTTGTTTTTATTATATCAATAGTTTATACTTGTTATTGTTGACAAGTTTAATTTCGTTGATAAGCTTTATGTTTGACTGTAAGATTAATGGTTCTTTTTTGTTTGTTTCACAGTAATTGTGCCTTTAATATTTGTTTGTTTGTTGTTTCTTTGCTTTGTATACTATTCTTACATGCTACTAAATCTATTTCTTTTCTTCTTCTAATCTTTCAAAAAAAAAAGTAAATCAATGATATAGACAGACAAACAGGATATCAAAAATTTTTTAAATTAATTATTAATTATAATAATAAAAGATAAAAGACATTTTCATTTATTATACTTAGATTATCTTTGTTTTTTTTCTATAATTGTGTCAAAGATGAGTACACAGGTTGGTTATTGATATCTTAATTTGGTTTACTTTTTTTTGTAAATAAAATTCTTATTATCTAGTTTCGTTTAACGAAAGAGGAGAGTGCATTGATGGATGAATGTCGAAGAACAAGTTTCTGGTATCGATGTGAGTTATAGATTTTTCTATATTGTTTTTGGAGAAATATTATTTTCTTTTTTATCTAAAGCGGCACCTTTGATGGCAATAACAACAGCTTTTATGACATATCGACGTGTGAATAGTATGTTTCATTAAGATCTCTTGAAGAAAATATTTTCTTTTTTGTAATAAATTTAGATCCAGTAGTACCTAAATTTTATGGTTTGAAATTAACTGGAGCAATTTTTGGAGGTAAAGAAGTTTTCATGATAAAAATGACTCAATAATAATGTTTATGCAAATATGTGCAAGTCTAAATTGAATACATCGATAGACGGATAAAAAAGAAAAATTGGTCAAATCATAAGCTATGTTTTATCTAGATTTTCTGGTAATTTAAAACTTCGGAAGGGCCAATCCGATGTTTGAAGAGGTGTTGCCCTTTGGTCCTCTACGCTAGATAAAACACTAGTCATAAGTACTACCGAGGGAACATATCCAAGTGTCGGATGTTGTTCGACTTCATACTATGACTTCGATTAGTCTACTTCGAGACTAAGAAAAATTTAAAAGGATTCGACCTCATGTTGAAGAGTTATAACCATTTTAATAAAATTTTTACTGAGAACAAGGAATTTCTGAAAAATCTAGAGTAACGAATGTTGATCTGAAATTTTGTCTATGGACAGACTCAATATTTATTAGACAACACTGAAAGTTTCAATGAAAGCGAACATATCTTTCTCGATATATTCAATTTCAAATCAGATTCGATTACTCTTTTCTATTATAATAAACTGCTGATTTTTCTTGAAAATTGACTATCTCGAGAAAGATGTGTTCGTTTTCATTGGAACTTTTAGGACTATTTAATAACTATTAAGCCCACCTATGGAAAAAGATTTCATTAAAACGACCGTAATTCCTCATTCAAATGCCATGTTAGAAGCTCAGAAATAACATTGGCAATTATGGTTTTCAGCTCGAAATCCTAAAAACCTAGGCTTGGGGGAAGGATTCTATTACGTTCGACACACTGTTCTTCCAAGGTACTCTTCTATTGATGAAAGGAAGTTCTGTCCCAAATCCCGAAACATCTCATCTAGGAGGTAATTCAGAATCGGAAAATTTAATATTGTCATAGTTTTTTCTTTTACGCAATTATTATGCTTCATTTTTTGAAGCCCCATTAGTATTAATATTGAATTTCTATGTTAATTTTATTTTTCATAAAATTTCGACTAAGAATTTTCATAATTATAATTCCTTTATTGTAGCATATTTATTGGGTAAATTAGCTTATATCCCAGAATGTCGAAAAATGGTTCTCGAGCGATTACCTAATTCAAATCTTGCACATTCATTCGATTCAAAACCATACAATATGATTTCTGACATGTATAAATATACATATATTATTCTTTCACTTTCTCAACCGACTATTTTTTTTATTTCTTTAAGGGCAGAACCACCTGAAATTGTTTCAAAATCAGCAACAACAAATATATTTGGTACACATAATGCACAAAAAGAAGAAGATCAACAAGATGATATTATACCTCCAAGTGATACAACTGATAAAAATAATCCTCGACGTTATGTAACATATGATGAATTACGTCAAAAAAATCGAACTGAACATGCATTGAAATTTTCAGGAACAAAAGTTCGAAATGGTTTGTATTTAAATCGTTTTTTTTTCTCTTCATATTAAATCTTTTTTTTTTCTATTAGATACACCTTCAACTAATACTCCTACAAATATACCCGTACAAGACAATAGAAACCTTGCACCTTTACCAATAAATACTAATGAACGAACATCAAATTCAATTACAACGAATCCTCCTAAACGATCGACTACACGAAAGAATCAATACGGCGATGAAGTATATGAGTAAAGACTTAATTTAATTTTCTAAACAATAGTTATTGCTTTTTTTTCTTTTGCTCGTAAAATAAAAATCGATATACATATGCAAAATATACAAGCTGAATCAAAAGTCTCTTTATCGTTTAAAGGTGAGAATATCTCTGAATTTTCAAAACTTAAAGTAAACAAGAAATGATAGCAAAATAATTATCACAAAAAAAATTTCCTATGATGAGGGAACTTGTCCAGATGTTAAATCGCTTTTCAATTGAGACAATATTCATTTGAGGAGTATAATAGAAAAATCTAGAATAGTTTGGTTTACCAGGTCGTCGTTCTTGAGATATCAAAGTTTTACTAACGAGGTAACGTTTTCAACTGACTAATCGTTTTTTTTATCGAAAGCTAGTGAATTATGGATTATCGACCATGCGGATTTTAAATATAATCATAAGAAATTTCCTTAGATCTTTATATACTTATTTTCTAGAGAACTGATTTTTCAGACTAACGTTTCACTGTGAAAACTCTTCAAGATGATACTATTTTACTTAAAACATAAAAGATTGTTGACTTGTGGACAATTTTCTTATGGTTATATGCAGAATTAGCATGGTCGACAAGCATCAACTGACTAACTTTCGATCAAAAAGCCATTGTTCAGCTGAAAATGTTCCCTCGTAAATTTTTCAACGAAAGGCCGTGATTATGTAAAAAATCAACTTTCGAATTGTGACTTCAAACTCTACATAAACAAAGTTCTCAATGAGATTAATTCATTGTGCAATTTAGAACTTATTCAATGATTTCTCGAGAACGAAGATCCGAAAAATTAAAGCATTCTAGACTTTTCTATAACTTGTCAGATGAACATCATTTCGATCGAATAGCGATTTAACACATTGAGAGACTTCTTCGTGAACTAGATAAGAGTACACGGAACATATTGACAGGATTTTTTTTTCAACAAATTCTCCTGGTTTAGAACTGAAAAATTCTGAATGCATTGTGTAACAACACATAAATCTTTAGTATAAATATGAGATCAAATAACAACAGTATGGAAAACAATTTCAAAAAAAAAATTATCTGCATCGTTGATTTTGGCGATGTGCCATAAAAAAAACCGATGGATAAATATCGAAAGAAAATTATGTTTCTAGTAAACATTGACTCTTAAGCACATGTAATTTTTGTCTGGGTAAGTATGGATGTGAACGAAGAGAAGACTCACACTCCGACACCTTCGATTGTAGCAATAACTATGTTGCCGACTGAACGTGAAATAGGTAAGTAAATATTTTTCTTATGTGTTGAGTCTTAATTGGCACGTTGTTTTTATTGATTTTAGGATAATGAGTTTAACAAAGTTACTGTTCAACCTTTCTACAGTCAATCATTTTGGCCACTGAGATACATTGATTTTGGTTTTCAAAACTTCTAAATTGTATTTTGATCGAAGGTGATACTTGAAAAAATAATTTTTGTCAGGATTTTTCTTACCAATACGAATACACCTGAAAAAATCAGCCCATTTGATTAAAACATAAAGATAATATTCTTTTTTTTTTTCAGTAAAATAATTTTCGATTCATTCTGTATATTTCTCGCATGTTGAAATATTCAATTTTTCTCTGTCTTAATTTCTTTTATTTTTCTTAATTTGATTATTTTTAACACTAATAGAATTACTCGTTTGATCTGATGATAGTAGTGTTTCTATTGATTGTGGCTCATTAGTCGATGAAGTTCTTCTCGAATAAGTTTCCTCAGGAGATGTACTGTATGATTTGTGTAAATTTTTTTTTTTTCGTCGATAAATTCGATGTTTTTGCGCGATTGTATGGAGATTTTTCTCGGCAATAATTTTTTTTCTTTCAGAACCATTACTTCTCGTTCGTACTAAATGTCTCACAATTGGTAATCGATGTTCGTGATGATTTTTAACTTCAGCTTTAACATGAACAATTTTAGATTTTTCTATATCATTTGAATTATCTTGATGAATACAAGCTGCTATTGTACCATATTGTGATTCAATTGTAAATTGATTTTTGTGTGGAATTATTGAATTAAAATGATTTGATTGAAATAATTTATTAAGTAATTCAGATGATATATGAACTTTTAATTTTGGTGTTTTAAGATTTTTTTTTTGTTTTTCTAAAAGTATTTTTATAAAACGATCTGGTAATCGAATGATTAATACAATAGGTGAAGATTTTGATGATAATTCTATTGGATGAAAATCATTATCATTACATTGAATATTTTTAGCATGAGCAGAAACACTAAGAACAAAAATGATGAAATAGAGTGTGAAAAAATATTTTCTTTTTGAAAATAAATTTACGTTTGTTGAACTTGTTTATTTATATATGAAATGAGAATTTGATCGATTAGATTTTTATCTTTTGTTAATAAAGAAGAATTAGGATTAACTAGTTTTTGATTGGAATGAGAAATAACATCTTCATAATAATTTTGATTTTTTGCATAAGTTTTATCATGAAATTTTTTACGATGTCGCCGCGTTAAATGTTTAGATTTGATAGATTGATCAAATGGAATTAATGTATTACTCATATGAGAAATATTTAAATTCTATTATAAAAAAAGGTAATTAATTTTCTTTCCTATTCTTTCTATTAAAGCTACCCTCCCCCCGCCGTTCGAAGTTTCTGAAGAATGATTCATCAAAAAAATCTGAACTTTTCAGGGTAAATAGATCTTGACAAGTAGAGCAATAGCCGTTACAGGTACTAGACGTCGTTTGAAGTGGATAACTTTTATTTTTTCTTCATTCAAAGCCAAACGATCGAACGTATCCTATCAACCAAACAATATTTTTTGATACAAAAAAAATTAACCGTCTCAAACAGTGTATAGTCTATGTGAAAAAAAGTATCAGCTCAACTGGATGTATTAGACCAGAAAAACACGGCACCCTATACAGCTTTCGCTAATTTGATTTCTTCTAGAGGTTTTTAATGGTTAAAGACAATTTTTCGATTCCAAAATGTACTCAGTAAATAGACACTATTTCAGATTATACAACAATCACAAAAAAAAATTTTGGATCATGAAAGATCGGCCGAAACACCTCTAATGAGTTTAACTATCCTTTTTACTTTTTTTAAATTTGTTTTTTGTTGTAACAATAATGGTACAGAATTTCTTCGATATCTATTATCAATATTAGTTGAATGATTTTGACTTGTTATTGAACTATGACTAAGATCTTCACTTGAAGATCGTTTATTATGTTTATAATCTTGTTTGAGTGATGATTTTTTTCTAATTATTTGAGAATAATTAAATGAATTCATTTGCATAAGATGAACTTTACTTCGATAATAAGCACATTCATTTGATTTAAGTTCAATAAATTTTTCTAATATCATTAATCGATTAAGTAATTCTTTATTTTTATTTATATTTGATGTCATGATCAATAATGAAAGCGTGAGATACAGAACACAATCAATGACAAACTTAAAAACATTTCCCGCATTTTCACTCGTTAATCGCACGCAAAAACAAAATATATTTATTTAGTTATTTATTTATTTATTTTTATAATTAGTTCAATTTATTGGCAAAGAAAATAAAAGAGAGAGAGAGAGCGCGCGAGGCAAATAAAAAGAAATTTTTTTTTTTATCGTCGGCCAGCCCACGCATTAAAACGTCGTTTGCCTACAAGACTTCGTTTACCAGCCCAAGCATTAAATCGACGTTTTTCGAGATCATGTTCATCATCTTCATCTGAATTATTCATCATTGAATCTTCATCTTGATAGGTTGAATGGAATTTGCCTCGTGCAAATGCTAATGGTCGTTCAACAAGCAATCGATGTTCACCATCATTTTCTTTGCCTGATAATTTATATGAATGAGTAACACTTAACTAGAAATATTAATATTGAAGTTTAACAAAAAAAATGACAAATCCTATATTTATAATTACCATAAGTAAAATGCAACTGAGAATACCAGTAAGAATGACAATTGTGTTCATCGTTATTATTTTGTATGTAGAACGCTTATCTAAAGGAATAATGCATGTAAATGATTTGGATTTTTTTTCTATTCTATATACTTATTGTCGTAGAAGATCACAAAATTAAATCAATACAAATACTATTTTGTATACAGAAATGCAAATGTGCAATTATATAGATAGAAGCTTTGATAAAATAAAATACACATACAAACATATAAATATATATATATATATATACACATACATACAAAAAATAAGCACTTTCCGGAGGCGTTTATTACCTACTAGTTATTGTTGAATGGATGTTGTATGTAATGGAATGCGTAAGAATCGTTCCTGTGTCGAGGCTTTTTTATTGTTCAAAAAAAGAAAACTATGCGAGGTGGTACAATTATTAATATTTCCCAATATTTTCTTAATAAATAATGTTTTCTCATACATTCTCTCCCTCTCTCTCTCTCTTTCGCTGCCCACTTATTTCTTTCTCTTTCTCAATGATTTTCTATAACGAAACATCTTTTTCTTTGTTATTTCTTTTCATTCCGATAAAGGTATAACGAGTTTATTTTGACTCATATATGCATATTACTAATCAAAACGACAATATATGTGAATTATGACCGATAGAATGTGTTCGAATAAGAGAAACAAATGAGTTCATCAATTGCGGATACAAATAAGGAAAAAAATCATCGTTCATATATAAATTATTGAATGATAATAGTAACGAACGAAGTTGTGCTTGTTTAGTAGTAAATATTTCATTCTTATACATCCTTCTCGTCATCTAATAACGAGCCGATCGAACCATTGAACAATGTCGTTTATGCAATTAGTAGGTTCAAACAAGAGAACAAAAGGAAGATCTTCCTTCCATATAAAAAAAAAGAAAAAGAAAAAGAAAAAGGAAATAATATATGGAAAAACAAACATGAGAGAATGTTTATCTAGTTGACTTGATTGATCAAAAAATAACTATACAGTGCATATATTTTTTTTTGGAAGGGAAAAAGAAAACATTGAAAATTTGATCAATTAACTCCAGGTTTTGTACCAAATTGAACAGATACTGGTTTTAATGTTTGACGAGGTTTAGCTTTTTCACGCTGTGTTACTGCAACTGAAGTAGGTAGTGGACGGTATTGTGATTTATTAGGTTTAACTGTTGACTGTTCGATAGATGATGTTGCTCGAGATTTAAGACGATCAATTTCATCGTGTAACTCTTGATTAAGTCGATTAAGTTCATCTATTTTAATATCACGTATTCGAATTTCATGTGCTTGATCACGTTCTAATTTCGATTGTAAAACATCATTTGTACATATTCGTGATAATTCAGTAACTTGATTTATACCATATAAATGTACTAATAAATCATAAAATGGTTTATTTTTTCGATCTTCTATTGGTAAATAACGACTTGTATAAAGTGATTCATATAATTCTTCTTTCAGTTTATCAGTACCTATAAAAATATAAATTCGAAATTTTGTTCAAAATAACTTTTTTCTTGTTTCATTTACCAACGCCTCTTATTCGAAGAGATTCAATTTCTGTTGTATATCGTCTAAGTTTATTTTGTAGTTGTTCAACCGAATCGGATTGTGCAGCAGTTTGTAAAAGATTGATATTGAACATATTATCTTTAGTATAGAAAATATTTATTTTCTTTTGGCTTTTTTTTTGTTATTATATGTTGAAAACCTACCAAGAGTACCAAGCCAATCGATAAGTATTTCCATTTTATCATTCATTTTAAATAAACTTCTATTATTTGCATCGACCTAATAGGAAAAAAAAAATTATTAAATGCTTTCTTTTTTTTTTTTTTGAAAATTTAAAAACAAATTGATTTACCATTTTAGTTTGATTTGACCATTTGTGTTGAAAATCTGATTGAAGTCGACCTACTTCATGACGAAGTTCTTGTAATTCATCTTCCTAAATATCAAAAAATTAGAGTTCCGGTTTTTTTTAAAGTTTAATTAAAAGAAAATACTTTTTGTTGTCGAGCAAGTTGTTCTTTTCGAAGTGAATCTTTTAAACTAACAGTATTACGTTTTTCTCTATAGACAAAAACAAATAGTTTATTGATTATTACGAATCAAATTTAAAATAATTTACTCTTCAATTGTTTCAACTAATTTCTGTTGAGCTTCATAATGTTGTCGTTTAAGATTTATAACTTCTACTGATTTTCCTTGACTTTGAGATTTCCATGTATCATTCAAATGAGCTTTTAATAACTAAAAAATATTTTTGAATTATATAATAGAAGAAAATCTTCTTCTTCTATTGCTTATTACTTGTGTTTGAAGATATGTTTTAAGTTTATCTCTTGCATCAGAACGTAATTTATCAATACCAGGACATTTTCTTAACATATCATCATCAATAACCACACGTTCAGCTGCATCTGCTGAATCAGATGCTTTCTTATCTAAATATATTCATTTTCAATTATAATAAGCTTGTCTCAATTGATATATTTGTCAACAAGCTTCGATAAAATTTTTCCGATGTAAAAAAGAAAAAAAAAAAAGAATAGAATTTTACCGTTGTTATTTAAGTTAAGAATAATGAAAGACAAATATTATATTAAAATATATTATAAATTTACCTTCACTTTCAAGAAGTTCACCTAAAAATGGTTGACCATTTGCAATCAAACCTTCAGCTAATTTTGTAAAAGCTAAATCACCATTATCAATAACACTTTGAAGTAATTTTTTATTTTTTTCATATGATGATGATAAAATCTATTCAATAATTATGATTAAATTTAGAAACAAAATTTATTAAAATTAATACATACTTTAATATCATCAAAGACAAAATCAGGAAGAACTTTTTTTTCTTTAAACCATTGAAAAAAATCATCAGTTAAAATAAGATTATTTTCAAGTAGACTACGATATCGTTCTAATATATCACGTTTTTTTAAATTGACCATATTAATTATATCAAATAATCAATTGACGATGTATATATATCTGTAGTGTTGATCTAATGTTTCAATCTCACATTCAATGACATGAGGGAAAATAGAATTTCTAGAGTTTTCTCTTTTTCTTTGTGTGTTACTTAAAAAATTTTTTTTTTCATCAATAACAAATAGTTCTCAATTTCTTTCTCTTCTCTTCTTCTTCTCCTTTTAACGTACTTTCATATGCCCTATGAGAAGAGAACAGCAGTCATCCGCTGACAAGCATTTTTGATTTGTTCAGTATAATTGCTAATAAAACAAAAATAACTCGTCTAACTGAATAAGAAAAACTGTTACAATTTTTATATTAGAAAAACAAAAAAGTAGAAGAAGAAAAAACTAGTAGACGAATAATAGACGTTAGAATATCCGACATTTGATAATAAAAAAGTAAACGATAGTATAGAACCATTTTGAATATATTAACTGAAAGAGAAAGAGAGAACTTAAATGTTCGCATATTTCCGCCCCCCCGAATCGGAACATGTTTAATAAGAACTTTTTAAGAATATAATATGATTGCATTACCTTATTATAAAATACGTGTCACAATTAGGCATTTAAACGGAAAGAAATAAGATTTTGCAGATAAAATAATCGATCATACTTTAACCAAACAAATAGCAATTTCATGAAATGAATTAATAATATAGTTAAGTAGAGTTCAAAGTTATGAAAATTATTTGTATTTATCATTATTCTAATATTTTTGACTTTATGAAAACAATAAAAAGAAACAAAGTTTATTCGTCTAATTGCTTCAAGAAATTCACTATATTCTTAATGATTCATTGTATGCATTTCATTAAAAATCAATGTTCTTGAATTGTTTTCAGGCTATATATTTTATTTTAATGAATTTTTTACTACCAAGGTGATATATATGTAACCTTATTAAGAACAATTTACAACGGAAAGCAAGTCATTTTTTTCATTTCTTCGTCATCGGAAGTCAACTGTTAATTGAATATAGCGAGATAGGCTATACTATAATTTGCAAATTGTTCTTCATATATTTATCAAATATTTCGATTACTTGATTTTTAATTTACTTTCTCGTTAGTTTTAGTTTTATGTTACATAATTAACAATGACGTTGACGATGTTTTTTTGGCTTTAATCTAATCAAGATGGTCAATAAAAGCATGCATTTATTGTAACAAAAGTTTCGACTGTAATTTCCGATCTTCTGTCTAATCTATGATGAGGAAATTCAATCAAGAATGTCTCAATTTATTATCAAATATTTGTATGAAAATAAGGAAAAGCATCCTTAAAAAGAATCCGAACTTTTCGTGAGATTCAGAAAAACGGCGCAAAATTTTGTTTCCTATAACTCTTCGACAAACACGTTTTGAAACGAATATTTTGTTATCAGTTGATAGGAAACTTTCTCATCTTTCGAACAGTATATGATTTATATTCGTCGTACATTCATAAATGAAATGTGACAAGAAAAAAAGAGAAACACATCCGCAATAAATTTATAATTAATCCTTTATTTCCCGAAGGTACCTATAGATGCCATTTTTTAAAAAGTTTTATTCTCTTGAGCTATAAGATGTATAGAAACTAATTTTATACCAAATTAAGAGATAAAAACAATAATACTTGGAAAGAAACACAAACGAAAGATGAAAATATCTGAACAATATCAGAAGAAGAGAATGTTTCGAAACTAACTAAAGGTAAAGGAGAGGATACATATATGTGTATCGCACTTACCATCTATACGATATAGTAGAAATGAAGAAAGTGTGAGTGTGAATGGAGTGAAAAACGGCACCGGACACTCCAAACACAATCATACCGATATCCATACTCACATCAACACTTACACCCACATCTACAACTTGTGTCCATTTTGTTGTAACCTTCAGAAGTTTTTCTATACAATAAAACTTACTGAACATTTAACATGTTAACTATATTAGCACTTAATTGATGTGGTTCACACTGTTCATGTGTATATTAGAGATCACTGTGATCACAATGCTGGACGAATTTTAGTTTCAGATCTTAAAATTTAGCCATGGGAAAGAAAGAATTAAAGTTCAATTATTATTGTCGTATTAATGAATTAAAAATGAAGATAACCTTTAAAGTGAATGGTTTGAATTAGATATGCCTATTTTATATCAAAATCTATATAATGTTCCATCACTATTGCACGATCTTATCATTAAAGATATCATAGGATAAGCAATATACATACAATTGGATCCAACAGAAAGTGCTTATATTATTGAAAGATGTGATATATAAAGAACGACATATAAAATCGATGTCAAAGATAGTAGAGAGAGATTTTTTTTGTGTCAAAGATTTTAATAAAAAGAAAATCTATTTCATTTAGTTCCAGTAACAAAATGATGTGATGTTGAAATCGGAAAAGTTAAAGAGTCAATCAATAACTTAAATATATAATATTAAGCAATGCTATAGCTTTTTAAGCATTTACATTGATTATCCATTATACATCGTCTCTGCATAAATATTTACATTATGAAACTTTAGCACAGGAAATTTTGATGGCTTGCTTTAGCTCCATCCCCTATTTCAGACTTGAGTGGAAACTCACAGTACGAAAATTATATGTAGATAGAAATTGTTAATATTGTAGTTCTATTTCATTATATAAAATGAGAAATAAAGCTTAACTGTAGCAATCAGTGAAAAATATTCAATCAAAAACCTCACAATAAAAGAAAACTTTGTCTTCTCATGTGATTTGAACTGGACAAAAACCACCAGTAGACCGTTCAATAAAACCCATATCGTCATAATCGGCTCAGTTTTGACGATTAATCGGTGATTATATACATAGATATGATTAATTAGCGATTTTTGCAACAAACTGCAATAGTAAATATTTATTTATAAAATTTCTTTTTTCATTTATTTAGATCAATATTAAGACCAAAATGAACAGTATGTATTATTGTATAAAACAAAAACTATTGTTTTTTTATTATTTGCGGCATATCAAGGAAGCAAAAATCATCTCTCTCACCTCAGTTGTAAGAAAATTTTATGAGCACAATAATAAAATGAAAACTGATTCGATCATGATTGAGCAATTTATTGTACTTCAGAATAGGTCAATAAGTGGAAAGCAATACTATTTTACTAAGAGAATTTGTTTTTAATAAAACTTCATATATAGATGATGAGAAGCCATATGACAAAATAATGAAATACATGAAAAGAAGAATAAACTATCCAAAAGGTGAACATGTATTATCGTAATGGAAAAATTGTTTCTGTATGTATCCATAATTATGACGTTCGACACTAATACTGCGTTCAATCCCAGCGTCATGAGCAACAAGCAAATGCATACGGAGTAGAGTTGATCAGATTTTGGAAGCAGAAAGACACCAAGTGAACTCTAAATCACTTGTCTTTCTGTGGAATTCGAAATCACCGCTTCTTCTTGTTGCTGTTTATGGAAGCTAAACAGTATATTTTGTCATATAAAGTAAAAGTTTGAATACTGTACCGTGACTGTGAAAGTACTTGCCGCATGTCGATTAGCTTCGGCCCGGTTGCGAAAATCGTACCCGTGCGGGACACTAGTGCTATGTCCGCAGTAGTTTGATACCTAAATCGTTGGTTATTCTCTGACCGTCATATACTGATGGATGTTTTCAGACTGGCAATCTACTGCCGTTAGTGCGAACAAATGTACGACATAAGTTACATGTTATGTAATTGAATTGAAGATTTTTTTAAAAATGAAAATATTCTAATATTGTAAATTTTTTCGTTCATAATATCAGAAACAATAAATTTAATAAAAAAAAAATATTACAATTATTTTCAAAAACTATCTGATAAATACAATAGTTCAATATCAAATATCAACATCATTCTTCAATAAAATAGAAAACATTTCACATATAATAAAATTATACCAAAAATAAAATCTGACATGACTAATCAATTGATTTATGTACATTCATTGTTTGTGTTATTCTACCATTGAGCTATAATAAACCCAAAAACATATTTTAATAATTAAACCAATTTATAATTCATACCTTTAATTTCAAATAGAATTTCTATTTGAACAGCTGTTTTACATTGTATTTACAGAGTAAATCATCTTTGTAACCAACACATACGGATGATCATAAATCCTAAAACAAAATCAAAAATGCAATTTCGTATATTCTTTTCTCTTCTCTCATTATTTTATTTAAAATTAATAATGTCTATGAAAACAAATTTCAACGAGAAACAATCCATTCTTACCCAATATGAAAGAATTTATTTTTTTTTAAAATACTATTATTCCAATATTTGTATTTATATTTTAAAAATCCCATAAACATTTTCCAAATAGATTCGTCGAATTAAATAAATATTCCACAACCAATAATTTAAATTCTGTTTTTTTGGTTCTAATTTAATTAATCTCTCTCTCGAATAATCTTTTCAAAAAAAAACAAAACAAAAAAGAAAATAACAGTTTTTTTAATTCTATCGTTTTTTAATTGTCATAGTATTATTATTATTATTGAGATCAGCAAAAAAAGAAATACATAAGCCTTTTTGAATATAGAATTTCAAATATATGAAAACAAAATGAAAACAAAAGATAAATCATTTGTGGGATGCCAGGTGGCAAAAATCATTTGTTTTTTTTTTCTTTTTATCAACGATAGACACTTCTTTTGGTTCAAAAAAGCAAAAAGCACAAAACAGCAAAAACAGAGAGAGAGAGAGAGAAATAATGACAAATGACATAGACACGACAAAAAATGAGGATGAATTGATTATTCGACAAATCGTTTTTTATTATTATTTTTCTTCAGCTTACTATATGAGTACTAATTTTTTTTTTGTTTTTGTTTAGAAAAAAAGAACTTTGGGATAATAATGTTTGTCGAATATTTAATGAGAAAACAAAAAAGAAAAAAAAAATCAAGAAATTAAATTTTTTTTTTTTTTGGTTTTTTTTGAGATTGTATTCAGTTCGTTTTTGTTTCTGAATTAGGAATAAAAGAAAAAATAATTTCATGGGTTATAATTTGTGTTTCTTTTTTTTTCGCCCACTGTCTTTTCAAATGTTCACCTCTCATACACATTGAATTTATCTAACAGCAAATCTCAGTTCCAGCTATAACTGGATTGTTGCTGTGAACTGTAACCTTGATCTTGATACCAATTACCACGAGTATTTTGTTGTGAGCCACCTTTATTCATATTATTTGGACCATCATTGCCATCACTACCCATCGAACCCCATGATCCAGTATCAGGACGACCACGTTTAGACATCATATTATCATTCATTTGATTTCCAGGCCGTTTCATACCTCCATACTGTCGATTTTGTTGCATTGGGTTCATACCAAAACCACTATTATTCATGCCCATTCGACCATATTGAGCATTATTATTTTGTGGTGGACCATTAAAGGCACCGAAATCACCTAAAACAAAAACACAAATCAATATTTTTATATAACAAATGGTGAAAAAGTTCTGCACTAATTTTGTTTTCAGTGTAGCATGGCGAGAATTTCTTGCAGACACTTAATAGGTTTCTTGTTAGAAGAAGCAAAACTCTATAAAACTACTTTGTTCATAATAACTACCAAAATTTGAAATGTTTTACTGTTTGACCGGTAAAGTGCTTTACAGTTAGAGGTCATCGAGTACAAAACTTTCGGAACCGCACTTGGTTACTTAAATTTTTTCAAAGTCGAACCCGATGAACTCTACTTGCAATTTCACACAAAATCAGAGATGAGAAACGTATTTCATCGTTTTATCTTGCACTCAACTTTCGAAATTTTTAGGCCTGTTATATTTGCATGGAACTAATGTAATGTAGACTTTCTAATGGTATCAAAAATATTCGAGTTACTAAACTACAGATTCTTATAGAAAATTGTTTTAATTAAAAACGTGATTTACTCTGGCATAATGTCTTATATAATATACTTTTGTAGAGGACTTTAATAGAACATAAAATATGAAGTTTTACTAAGTTCGATTGCTGGAAGAAATCTCATTTTTCGAAAATTATTTCTTATTTATGAACATTTTTCACTAGAAAAAGGGGTGTGAAAAATGTCGACTTTGATCTCAACTGATAACTTCACAAATATTATTTTTATTTATTTCCAATGCCCTATCATAACACTATAAAACAAAAGAAATAAGACGAACTTTCTTAATCGATAGAAATTTCCTTCTTCTTAAAACTTTTCCGCCTTTAGTACGTATTTTGAGCGAAATACTTTTACATAACTTTATTCAAAACAAAATTAATGTAGAACTTTTTTCGTCACTGATTACAATGAAAAGCCTTATCTCACTTACCTTGATTATTTGAACCATTATTAAATCCACTTGGATTATTCTT